AAATAGGTGATGGGGATTTGGGTGCACTTGTGATGAGCACCTTGTATGAAGTGTTGAATCACTACAATGTACATCTGAAACTGTTACACTGTATGTTCACTGGAATTTAAAATAAAAGCTTTTTAAAATTTTTAAAAGAGAAATAGGGGCGCCTGGGTGGCGCAGTCGGTTAAGTGTCTGACTTCAGCCAGGTCACGATCTCGCGGTCCTTGAGTTTGAGCCCCGCGTCAGGCTCTGGGCTGATGGCTTAGAGCCTGGAGCCTGTTTCTGATTCTGTGTCCCCCTCTCTCTCTGCCCCTCCCCCGTTCATGCTCTGTCTCTCTCTGTCCCAAAAATAAATAAACGTTGAAAAAAAAAATTAAAAAAAAAATAAAAGAGAAATAGTTTTCTAATACGTATTTAATTTCTTCTTTGATTTGTTGATTATTTAGAATACATTTGTTAATTCTAACATGTAGGGAGTTTTGTTTTCTTTTTGTTACTGATTTTTAGCTTAATTGCATCATAAGCAAAGAACATGCTTTGTAGGATTTGGGTTCTTGTGAGCTGACACTTTCTTCATGGCTCTGCAAGTGGTCAGCTTTTCTAAGTGTCTCAAGTATGTTTGAAAAGAAAGTGAATTCTACAGGTGTTGGGTGCAATGTTCTGTATATGTCAGTTGGGTTAAGTTAATGTCATTCAGGTCTTCTGTATCTGTTTTTTCCTTTTTTATGTTTATTTTTGAGAGAGAGCGTGTGAGCAGGGGAGGGGCTGAGGGAGAGGGGGACAGAGGATCTGAAGCGGGCTCCGCACTGACAGTAGAGAGCCTAGTGTGAGGCTTGAAACCATGAACCGTGAGATCATGACCCAAGCCAAAGCTGGACGCTCAACTAACTGAGCCACTTAGGCACCCCCAGGACTTCAATATCTTGATTTGTCAGTTTGTTTTTTTAGTTATTGATTGTGATGTGCTAACTCCCATCTTGTGGATTTACCTATTTCTTCAGTTGTAGATGGGACAATGATAGATGCAGAAGTACAAGAACCAAAGTAGGGAAGTCTTTCTTTTTAGTTAGATCATGGGGGGAAAATAACATCTGGAAAACCAATGGGGAAAAATATTACAAATGTTGAGGATGCCTTATCTTTAGTGGAAGAGAAAGCTTCTTGTGGCAACATGAAGGGCAAAAGTGGTGGAACTGAGGAGTCGGTTCAGAAGCACAGAATTGGGAATTGTGTTCACTTCACCTTAACATCAGTGATCTGACAAATGTGGGACGGAGGATACAGATCATCAGTTAAAACTGTGTTTGTTTTAGCGCTGCTGGGATATCGCCTTGGGTCCCCTCAAACAGATTCCCATGAACCTCTTCATCATGTACATGGCAGGCAATACTATCTCCATCTTCCCTACTATGATGGTGTGTATGATGGCTTGGCGGCCCATTCAGGCACTTATGGCCATTTCAGCCAGTAAGTATTCTTGATATAACAACCCTTCCTTAAGTTTTAAGAATTGAAGACATATTCTTAGGTGAAACTCATGAAAATCTTTAGTACTGCTGTTGGCTAGTTGCCAGTGGGGTGGAGGGGGGTGTACAGGGAGGTGATGATAATGGTGGCAGCATGGAGGGGAGGGAACTTATCATGGTTTTTTATTCACCTTCAGTGGTCCTATTTGCTCTCTTTCTTTGGGTCTATATTGTTTTAATAAATGACCTGATTCATATTGGGGAAAAAAAAACTTGGCTTGTTCTCTCAACAGCTTTCAAGATGCTAGAAAGTTCAAGTCAGAAGTTTCTGCAGGGTTTGGTATATCTCATTGGAAACCTCATGGGTTTGGCACTGGCTGTTTATAAGTGCCAGTCAATGGGACTGTTGCCTACACATGCATCAGATTGGTTAGCCTTCATTGAGCCCCCTGAGGTAAGCCAAAAGAAAAGTTCAATTTGGGGCAGTTGTAAATAGTTGACCCATTTGAGGGTGGAGGATTTGAGTTGGTACTAGAGCTTATTTTTTAAGAAATAAGATTCCTTGGGAGTTTGGAAGTTGTTATTTTTTAAGGATAAAGTGAAATAGAGCCTGTGATTAAATAAAGTAACTGTACTTGATTCCAGGAGTTAGTTCAACACCCGTTCACCTTTTCTTGTTTCAGAGGATGGAGTTCAGTGGTGGAGGACTGCTTCTGTGAACCTGAGAAAGAAGTACCTGGTGCCTTTGTATCAGGATCCCATTTACAACCTTTTCATGTCCAGTGGCTCCTCCTTCACATACTTACTCTTCACATGATCACTCATGCCAACAAGAACCCAAAGCTCTCTTTTCTCCATGGTGAGGCCCAGAAAGACAAGTATGTATCACTACACACACAAACCATACTACAACCCTTGACTGAAAATAATGTAGAAAACTTTATTTATGTTTCCAGTACAGAGCAAAACAACAAATAAAACTGTAACTCTATGTAAACAAAAGAATGGCCGCTGCTAAATCGAGAACCACAGCAGCAGCTCCTTTCAATAAATTAAATGGTCGAGAACGATGCTTAAAAAAAAGTTGCACAAGTTTCCCTTAAATCTATTTTCCTTAATATTTCACTTCTATTTAACACAAGCTGGAACATAAAAATTCTGTTGGAGACACTTGTGGAAGATGTAAGAAACTAATGCTGGATTCAGATTATACATGATGAAAAGAAAAATAAACCAGACAAAAAGGGCACGTAAATATGCTTACAGTGTAATCGCTACTTTAATATCCACAATAATGGATTTTTAACACATGTAGGGGGTGTGAGGATTGGCGGGATAGTCGGGGCCACAGCCATCTGAGGCAAAGGAAGATACACAGTAATGATCTTTCCCCTGCCAAGAGGAACCTGGCATCTGTCAAGCAGATGCTACAATTCAAACCTCAGCTTTTAAGATAGCTTTAGAAGGCAGAGGGCCAGCATCTGGAGAATGGATATTGTCATAATCTGCCCTGGTAAATCATAGCTGAGACTTAAAAGCTGAATCTTACTCAAAAGGCAGGAAGAGGTCTTTCCTTTCTCTTCCTTCTTGAAACATAAAAGCCCCTTCCCCTAAGGTGCATTCTCTTATCAAGTTTTCAGTATTGCTTTATTTGCAGTGATTAGAAGAGACAAGACACTTTGCAGACAAACAACATAAGCAACACACGGACATGAAATGCTCTAGACGGAGATGAGTTTAAATCTGGCCTAATAACCATTTTCCCACATAATGGTGATTGTATGTTTTAAGGGCTGAAGTAGCGGCTGTTATTAGTAGCCACTAACTCCGTTATCCCTTTTAAAAGATTCTTATAGAGCTCCAACCACAAAAAGCTCTTCTAAAACCTTGTTTTCTGCCCATATTTTTTCTATATGGAAAAAAAAAAAAGATCAACTACTTTGGCCAGAGGATGTGTGTAAATGTAGAGGAATTCCTGGGTAGGCTGACCTTTAAAGACTGTGGTGTCAATATCTTGGGTCCTAAGGAACCTATTCCACTACTGTGGACTCAATTCAACAATGGAGTATTACGGTGGAAATTGTAAACAATGCTTCTACCCTCTGCAGGAAGGAGCAGGAAAAAGACTTAAAGATTGTGTCTGCTTTGCTACCCTGACTGGGTCTTGAGGTTGAAAAAAGAGCAAAGGGAACAAAATGACTCAATTTCTGAAGCCATACTGAAGAGTTTTCTCCTCTGCCCCGTAACAGTCAAATGAATAGTCTGCTGATACCTAGGTTTGCTTCCTCCAAATCCTATTCAGTAATCAAAAAAGAGTGGCACTATTTATCATTAATAAAGTGATTCAAAATCAGTCATGAATACAGTTAAGATAGTTTCTCTAAATACTTATCCTATAAAAGAAATGAACATTTCACATATTTGCAATTACTACTCAAGGTGGTTTCCCTATGCTTGAAAGCCAGGTGTTTTAATGACCAGTAAATGAGCAAATAAAAAGCTAAGCTTGCACAAGTATTTCCTTGACACATTTAGAGCTTTCTGAAAACAACTGTTATAGCAGAAGACTGTTGGCTTGGATACTCTTAGTTCAAAGCCAAGTTTCTGCAGTCACAAGAATAGAATTGAGAAAAGAAAACTGCTCATACTGTGGGCATTTAGGTGAGTGCCTCAAGTCTTTGCTATGGCTTTGGAAATGAGTCCACAGGATTCTTAGTGAAAAGTTTCTTCAATCAGGCCAATGCCAATCATATGCCACTTTAGTGAAGCAGGTAGGTAGAGGAGCAGCAGCTCAATCTTTGGCACTATGGAAGGAGTATGGCTCTGGAACTTCAAATCCCATTGCTAGATTCCCCCTTTAAAAGACAGTCCAACGCTTTTAGGGAAGGATTTCAGCCAGTCTTCCTAGTGTTTGTTCCTGATTTTTGACTTATGCCTGCCTACCAACCCAGAGGGCATAAAAAAAAGGGAGAGGAGAAACTGTTGGGCACTATGCATCATCATCTAGGTTTCCTAGATAACAACTTTAATGTTTGCCCTTGTCGCATAGGTAACCACAGACTGTGTTTCAGTAGATCTTAACAGCTACCATTTGGAGTTACCTTAATTTGGCCATTTGAACACAGCCTGAAAGAAAATTTTCCACTCCAACTTTAAAAAACAATTTCCAGGATAATAATGCTTGTATTACAATCTTAACCACAATCGATTTTGAGAACCAGCTGATATATATATATATATATATGTGTGTATACATATACATGTACATATATGTATATATACATGTATATATGTATATATGTATACACACGTATATATACATGTATATATACATACATGTACATGTATATACACACACATATATGCATATATACACACCTACATATATGTGTGTGTGTATGTGCATACACACACACACACACACACACACACACACACACACACACACAGACACACACACACATATATATATACACCAACATAGTATATGTACTTAAACCTGGTATTTGGGGAGAATCTTATTTTGGAGGAAGAAGTAAAGGCTGCAGCCATGTGTCAGTTTTTGTATATTAGTACCCTAACAGAAAATCAGAGTCCTGGAGAACAGTGGATTCATTAAAGAAAATTAGCTAAAAAAGGTTTTCATCTTGGTTTGCCACAGGTTATCTCCACAAGGATGTTAGGTCCCCATATACTTGGCTGTGATTTCTTTAGTATGATGAAGCTGTGTCCTCTGGCTGTTACCCCCATGGTGTCATCACTGGACCATGACTTCTGAGACTTCCCTTTAATGTTGGACCTGTACTTGCTTTCGGTCTTCAGTTGAATTTCTAGCATCCCTTTTGCCAATTCATTTTTATTGGTTTAGCTTGTTAATTCTAACTTGACTTCAACTGGGACAGACATGGCTTTTAGGACTTGACCAGTGTTCCAATGTTGAGGGAATATTTGCTTCTTCTGTAAGGATGGCAGATCATATGACAGCAAAGAGCAGAACTATTTGTACTTTTTTTGCACAAGTACTTGAGGCTCAGCCTGTCGAGAGTTCAGTGTGATGTGTACAGAACCCAGGCCTACTTGATGGGAGTAGTAGTAAAGAGCTGGCACTTCCACGAAGGATGGAAGCCTTTTAGGAAAGGTGAGGCCAAGCAGAGTCACTCAGGAGTAGATTATGAATAAATGGTGATCACTTCACTGCCACCACCTCGGACAAGGAGGACTCGCTCTAGTCCCTCGGTGAGCACTTCTAGGAACTCCATGTCTTCAGGATTTGTCAAGGAGACAAACAGGTGGGAGAAAAGCACATTTTTATAACCTGACATGATAATCTGGGTTTATCTGACTACAAACTTGCAAAATCAACATGCTTGTTTTACTTACTATATACTAAGAATTGGAGAGATCTGAACTCTGGAGTCCATTTAACCCTGTGAAATAATCCAGGAATCTAGTCCCTTTGCATGTATAATACAAGATCTCTATTTGTTAGATTTTTTTCTAAACGTTACTTAAAAAAATGGAGGAAAACCACAAATAACATGTTCATACCACATAGCAAAATAAGCCAAAAAAGAAGAAAAAGTCACAACAGGGCAGCTTAGAAGACTGCTAGAGAGAACCCAAGTAATTTCTAAGTGAAGGTGCTCAAGTCAGATTTTTCTGCCAATTCTTTTTTTCTTAATCTTTTTTTGCTTAGTGGTACTGGTGCAAATGGGCCAGTCTACACCATTGCTGTTCTGAAGGGGCCCCATGAAAACAATCCTGGGATGAGGGTCTGAGGAAAAACCCTGATCTCTTTTTTCCCCTTGAACGAGGTTCCACTCCACTGCTTCTCCCCTAACTCCATCCACAGGAGCTTTGCAAAGCGGGTAGAGCTTGAAAAGGAGAAAGGATGTGGGTACTCTGTCTCTAGGACTGTCAGAAAGGGTTTTATACCATGAAATATTAGAAGTCATGATGCAAATTTACCACCTATAAAGTCTTTTTAGGGTTCAGAGAGAACATATACACCCACCTCCCCAAAAGGAGATTACTCTTACTACTTTGTAAGAATCCTTGCCTAAGACTTTTAACAGCCTTCCCTCCTCAAGAGGGAAATGTGGGCACAATGACTTTTAAGGTTACCTAGTGGTCTCATCTAAGAAACAGGCTAAGATTTTCCTTACTGATAACCCCACTCTTGGAAAGGATACAGTTTTCATCACCCTCAGGGTTTCGAGGTGGCCCTGGCATATTCAACAAAACAAGCTTTGCTTCATGGGACTTGTTAACTATAACCTCATTGAGTTTCACTGCTGTATGCATCCTCCTCACATTGGACTGGTCCCTGGGCAGGTGGAAGGGAGAAATAGAGGTGGTTAAGGCAAAGAGAAAGCTAGACATACAGTTAACTTTAAAAACCTTGAGATACAGAGCTTTTTTGCAATGACTATGAATAATGCAATGAACAAATGATTTCTTTATTTTAATATTCTGGCCTGGCTTTTCTCATTCGACGTTTGCTTGTTTTATGCCGGGAACAGAACATGGTGAGGAAGAAGGGTGGTTAGCTTGTGTACAATGTTAACTGGTAGCTGGTATGCACAGGGAAATAACAGAGATGGCTGGATTTGGTGTGGAATGAACAGACTTTATCCTTTGTATCCAGGCAAAGTCACATGTATGCCACTGACTGGGATACCATGTTATGTGAAAAGCTTGTGAGTTGGAAAACTTACGGACGCATGTTAAGCAGGTCCTGGAATCCTTCCATCGACTTGGCCTTTTGTCCCCGGGATGCCATGTACTTGTCTTTTGTCCAAGTCATGTGCACCTTCTCCTGATAGGTTTCTGTCTCTTCATCCTCATCAGAGCCAATGCTGGTCAATCGCAGCATTGAGTTCCGGTCTTTCACCAACTGTGCCTGAGGAGGGCCCAACACAGCTATGACCTCTATACCCAAATTTCTCTCATGCTTCAGCTTCAATTATTTTCAAACAATAATGTAGGGTTGCAGTGGAAGAACTGATAAAGTGGGAAGGAAAGAATCTGTCATCCTAGGAGAACAATAGAGGATCATCCCTTTCAGTGACAAGACTTCACAGGGCCAGTATTCAATGAATACAGGAAGGTCTCACCTCTCTGTCCCGCTCGGTTTTGGACAGTCGCATGTGCCGGAGCATCTGGGATCTCTGCTCCATCATCAGGGTGCGCTCATAAGTATAAGCTGAAATGTCACTGTCATGCTGCCACGGATCACACCCAGCATGGGCAATAAGCACAAAGGAGAAACAAGGATCAGCCATAGTTTTCTTTTCCACTCACTAAACCAGAGAAAGTATCACAACATCAACCTAAGTTTCACCCCTGTTTTGTCCAGGCACTGAGCTATGTAATTTTATGGACTGTAGATCAAATATAGAAGCCCTGAGAGTCTTCCATAAGCTAACCATTACATGTTTCCAAAGCACAAACTCTACTTTAAAAAAATTTTCTTTTTACTGCCAGGTTATTAAAGCAAAACAAAACAAAACAAAACAAAAAGCTATGTGTGACTTTACCACGCGTACATAAATTAAAATTTTTTTTTTTTAATTTTTTTTTTTTGACGTTTTATTTATTTTTGAGACAGGGAGAGACAGAGCATGAACGGGGGAGGGTCAGAGAGAGGGAGACACAGAATCCGAAACAGGCTCCAGGCTCTGAGCTGTCAGCACAGAGCCCGACGCGGGGCTCGAACTCACAGACCGTGAGATCATGACCTGAGCCGAAGTCGGCTACCTAACCAACTGAGCCACCCAGGCGCCCCAATAAATTAAAATTTAAAAAAACCTGTATTAAGCAGACAAGAATCTGGCCAAAATACAAAGAATGTGTCACAACTAAGAAAGCAAAAATTAAAAACACCACCAAATACACATCACATACATAGTCACTTCTCTCGATCACTATATTAGGGGTTTGTTGGAACTAAGGGATTAATTCATATTTGCAGCTGAACAAGTTCCCAAACCAGAAAAAGCTCTAGGAAGACAGGGTAGGAAGTGGGGGAAGGGTGGTCTTTGTGATCTCAAACTCTTTCTCACCATCTCCACCACCTCCACCTCTGCCTCAATGCGCAGGTGATAGAGGAAGGTGGCCAGGTCCTTCTTCATCTGAATACTATTGTCTTCTAACTGGGCTACTGTGAAGATCCGTATGCTGCATTTTCGCCACACCTGAGAAATTACCATACAGAAATGGAAAGTGAGAGGCAAGAAGGCAAAAAAAAAAAAAGAATTATTTCCTAAAACGCAAGCCATTTTTTTAGACAACCTTGCTGTAGTATCAGGGTATTTGTTTCCAGTTTCTTACTTGCTAAATTATGGTACTGGGGCAAAAGCTTGACTAAGAAACACATTTAAAACATTTTAAAGAGGTTCTTAATTTCCTAACAAGAAAAAAACTGGCAAAAGATGATATATGATACCTTAAGAGGGTGCTGTATTCAGGTAGAATACTGATGGTACCAGAGAGACTATAATAGCGAACTATTTTTTTTTAAGTTTTTTTTTTTTTTGAATGTTTATTTATTTTTGAAGGGGAGAGCGAGCGAGCGAGCGAGCAGGGCAGGAGCAGACAGAAAGGGAGACACAGAATCCATAGTGGGCTCCAGGCTCTGAGCTGTTAGCATTGAGCCTGATGCAGGGCTCGAACTCTCCATGAGATCATGACCTGGGCCAAAGTTGGACGCTTAACCGACTGAACCACCCAGGCGCCCCTTACTATTTTTAATTTCAGTTTAATTAGTCTTACCAAAGGATGAGCATATATATAATGTTTATTTTTTTATTTTTGAGAGAGGAAAAAAAAGTGCAAGTGGGGGAAGGGCAGAGAGAGGGGGACAGAGGATCTGAAGCGGGCTCCGCACTGACAGCAGAGAGCCCCAGGTAGGTCCCCAACTCAGTGAGATCGTGACCTAAGCCGAAGTTGGATGCTTAACTGCCTGAGCCACCCAGTCTCCCTGAGCATGTATATGAGATACACACACACCCATACACCTGTATGTAGGTTTCCAGTATTTGAGAGACTTGGGTATTTTTTTTTTTTTTTACAGATGTGTTCATTTGTTAATGTTTTTCCAGTGGCTCATATGGTACTTTATTAATTTGCTGAATTTCATGTGGAAATAGGTAGGTACCAACTACAAAACCATTTCTCATAAGGTTGAAACTGGGATCATGGGAAAGCTAAGAATAATCCCCAACTCTTCTGATCCTAAGCCCCAACACTATAGAATCAAAGAGGAAGGATCTGACTAGTGAACCAGGACAAAACTTAATTAAGGGAGATAGACTTTTTTCAAAAAGTGTCTAAAATACCTTGTGCTGTTTAAGTAGGAATGGTAAGAGCATGAGCATCCCCCCATCATGCACAATCCACCACACATCAATGTTGCCCTCAGAAAACTGCTCCACGTTGCTGGGAAAGAAGGAGATGTTTTTAGCCACCAGCAGGGCCAGATGGGCAGCAGTTGTCACTCGAACTGTGCCTAGGGAGAAAACAGAATCAGGATCAACAGAGAGGCCTGCCTTGCTTCCCACCATGTCAGATTGTTTATTTATTTTGAGAGAGAGAGAGAGAGCAAGAGAGAGAGCACAGGGGAGGGGCAGAGAGGGACAGAGAGAGAATCCTAAGCAGGCTTTGAGCTACCAGTGCAGAGCCTGACATGGAGCCTGATCTAATGAACTATGAGATCATGACCTGAGCCAAAATCAAGAGTCAGCTGCTTAACTGACTGAGCCACCCAAGTGCCCCAAGGATAATGCTTTTTTTACACTTTTTTTAAAGTTTATTTATTTTGAGAGAGAGAGAGAGAGAGAGAGAGAGCGAGCATGAGTGGGGGAGGGGCAGAGAGAGGGAGAGAGAGAATCCCAAGCAGGCTCCGCACTCTCAGCACAAAGCCCGACATGGGGCTTGATCCCATGAACCGTGAGATCATGACCTGAACCGCAACCAAGAGGTGGACACTTAACTGACTAAGCCAAGCAGGTGCCCTTACTTTTTTTTTTTTTTTTTACACTTCTTTAAGCAAGGTGTTCTGTTTACATAGTAGGTTATACCTCATCGAGCAACAACAATCATTGAGAAAAACCTGAATAACACAATTAGATTCAGAACCATGATTTATGTTACTAGATATATTCTGATCACTACATTTCTGGGGAGGAGGCAGGATATGTGAATTTTGGAGATTTTGATTAAAGACGATCCTTCCAATTCCTGTGAGAATGTCAATGACAGGAGATCATAAGTGAAAATATGGCAATTTTAGTAATAACTCCCAACATAATACATGACAGAGATAAACAATTCATGAACATAAGGTAAAGGTGGAGGCGTGAGTAGAGTAAGGTTATTACTGTTAGCAGTCATTTAGGTGCCCTTATAATACTCTGCTTCAACAATGGCACAATCTCCACTTTAGGAGGCTATGGGGTGGGGTTAAGGTAACAGGGATATAGGTCTATCCCCTCTTTGGGCCCTCAGGATAAAATGAAAAGTGTTCTGTACCAATAAAAGTCTTCCAAGCTCGAGCATCTTCACTCTGGCGCCAGCCATTAGGCCATCCCATCACCACGGTGTTGTGCTTCATGCCCCCAAGGCCACATGACTGGATGAGGTGGGAAATGCCCTCTCTCAGCTTGGCCGCCACCACCAGCTGGCAGAACCCTTTCACCTTCTCTGCCTCCATTAGATGCTTTATGGTCTGGAAAAGATAACCTCAACACTGAATTGCTTCACACTGAACCTTTTTATTTATTACTCTTCTCTTTATTATATTCTCCTCCTCTTTAACAAACTCTGCATAAGACCATATCTCCTACAGAAACGTCCAAAAAGTTAAAATTAATCCGATGGAATTTCATTATCCTTTGCCTTTTTCTCTAAGTGCTTACTACACATACTGCTGGTTGACTATAGGGAGTTTCTGCCTTTTCCTTCTCCGTAACATACAAGACAAATCAAGAACAGGGGTTTCACAAAGCGAATATTCAATACTCTTTCTTAACCAACTAGGGTGAGTGTAAACATGATCTCCTTCTTTCCTCAATTGCCTTGATACCCTGACTCATATTACTAGAAATTCAATCTGATGATTCAGTTTCACTTAAGAATTCTGTTTTCTTTTCAGGTATGTTTTCTTTTTGGTTTCTCCCATTTCTGTATCTTTTTTGATATTTTAAAAATGATTACTGATGACACTTGTCTTTGCTTTACTATTATTTATTCAGGCCAATTTGGAGATAATATTTCATTTACTTTTACTCTGCTCTCCTGGTGGAAAGGTGAAGGGAATAATGGTGCAGAAAGAAGAAATGATTTTCACAAAGGCACAGATTACATCAGTGGTGTAGCTAGGGTACTATAAGCAAAGTCTCTTGATTTCCAATCCTGTGCTTTTTATTTATATTTATCATCCTGCACTAATGCTTCTTCATTATTTCTAGTTTTTAGGGTTTCAAAGTATTCCAAAATGCAACCCAGTAAAATTTTTGAAATGTAATTGAACATCTGTCCGAACAACAGGGTTGGTTCTATCAATTATAATAAGCATTAGAGTGAAAACTGCTTTCTTCTTTAAGGAGAGCTTATACTTGGCAAGTTAACCAGAAGTAAAGCAAAGGAATCTTGCTCACAATACCATGTAGACTGCTAAGGAGGAAAAAAAGTTGTTTACCACTCTTCGTTGTCACCAGATTGAGCAGAACCATCTCCACAGTTCAAGGGACAGACTTATTTAAAGGACCTCTCTGAGGCCTGACTCAACCAATGTTTGGAAATAGTGCTCAGTCTTAATAATCTTAAGAGTTTAGTAGTGCTTTTTATTTTTATTTATTTATTTTTAAATGTTTGTTTATTTTGAAGGGGGGAGGGGCAGAGAGAGAGAGAGAGGGAGAGAGAGAATCCTAAGCAGGCTCCATGCTGTCAGCACAGAGCCCGATGATCTCATGAACCCTGAGATCACGACCTGAGCCAAAATCAAGAGCTGGATGCTTAACTGACTGACCCACCAGGTGCCCCAGTAGTGCTCTCTAAATGGAAAGAATAAATTACTGTTTTCTGGTTCATCTTATTATTTGGGAGAATATGATTATTCGAAAGCCAGCACCAAGAAGGAAACAACCTGGATCACTCAGGAAAGGGATTAATTTAGAAATACAACATCTTATAACTTTACATCACAAAACCATAAGCTACATTCCACTAAGTCAGTAGGCCTTGACTCTTTCTTACCTGCTCAGCAGCTAGAGCTTCCCCGTAGTTCTCCAGGAAGTTCCCCACGATAACAGAGCCCACAATAGTGAGGCCCTTTCCTGCTTTAAGCTGTGAAGCAAAGGTGAGGAGGCGAGGATGCTTGACGTGTAAGTCTTCATCTAGTTTCAGCAATACAAGCAACTGAGGCCTGTAAAGAGGTTGGCAGGGGGGGTGGGGTGGGGAAGGAGAAAAGACTTTCGGTTTGGGGAACAGAATGAAGATTCTAGCATTTACTTGAGGAGATCTGGATAAAACATGTAACTGGTCAGAAGGGAGAGATTAAAGGAAAGGAAAGGACAGGATGAGGGTATAGTGATTTTGAATCCTGTATCACTGCAGTAGCACTGCAGATTGATCAATCTGCAACAAACAATAAAAATGGTAGAAGTCTAGATCAGACACCACAAGAAGAAAAGGGAATCAAGATGAAGGATTTGGAATTGTTCAAAACAGATATATTACACCAGTTCTTTGAGCCACCTCAATTCCTTATCCTGTCATCCTGAAGCACACGGTTGGGTGTGTTAACCATGTGCCAAACACCACACCACTAGGCTCTGTTGATTTCTTTACCTCCAGTTTTTAGTGTGTGGAGGTCCTTCCTCCAGCCGAAGCAAAGCAAATCGGGCTGCACTGAGGGACAGCCCACGGATTCCATCACCCCATTCTTTCTCCGCTCTGGGAGAAAAAAAGAAAAGAGTAGAGACAGATTTAAACTACAGGAAGTACAATTTCAAAACATAAAGTTTATTTTTTCTTTATCTTAAAGTAACATATGCACAAGACAGAAAATTAAAACTCATATTAACTAAATGCTCTTTATTAACGTAATGAACCCGCTATAAGCAGATCCGCACTGCCCTTCAGTGATGGACTGCACTGCACAATAAATAGTTCAAAATAAAGGCTGGAAGGATCACTCATTTGTCCTTCTATGTACCTGTTAAAAGCAATAATGTAAAATAGCAATTTGTGTTATACTTTCATACTTATCATTATTATTTCGACATGTCCTTTTAGTTATTTTTTTTCACTGATCTGTTCATATTTTCTCAATAGGTTCCCTTTGTTGTATCTGTAAGCTTGTGTCTTGTAAGACGGCTAGGAGAGTCGGGGATACAAAATTTAGTTACAGATGAATGAGGTTATCTGGATCCTTAATGCAATTTCCATTGGGCTGGCTCTAACCAAACTAGTTGGTGTGGATACTTTTATCAGTAATCAAGGTCACATCCACAAACTCACCCTTGGTACTCGATGTACTTGTAGATCATACCAGCTATCACCATAGCTACAATAGCGTAATACCAGGAAGAAATGAACATCAGAGCCAGACAGATACTCATTCCCATGAAAGAGAGGGCCCTAGAAAATTAAAAACAAAAACACAAACGAAAAAAGTGCTTTCCTAAGCAACTAAAAAAGAAGCCTATGCTAGAGGTGCTTCTCAAACTGGTGAGAAATTGTTATTAATTTTTTAATTCTAATATATTGCAGAGTGAACTTTTGTAAAATGCAATAAAAAGGATTTGGTAGAAAAATTACTATATGCCTGGATGCTATGACAATGTCATATTGCTATAAAAGTTTCTAAATGATATTTCTCAATTTTTATAGTTGTTTTATCGTGGCCTGCGCTGAGGCCCAAACCATCCTTTGTGCTGATATGTCCCATTGCTGGAAAAACTTATAAATAACCATGATTCAACAAAAGTTATCTGCAGTTGTGAGGATAATTAATACCTACTAGGTGAAACAGGGATGGGGCATATAGTCAGAATTATTAACGTGATGATCTCTAAAAAAAGTACTTCATGTAGATATTGATCTTTACCTTATGAATGTTTATTAGCATACGTGTAGAACCCACTGAAGGAAAGCTGGTGTTAGTTTTCTTACTTTACATAAGAGAAACATGGCAGAGAATGATAAAATGCTTGTTTTAAGCAAATAGATTAGGTGAAAAATCATGTTTATTGCAGTTCTTCTGTGTATAGAATGAACTTCTTAGCTCTATGATGAATCTCAAAGAATGAGCAGGAGAGCTCAATCTGGAAAGATTAGGCTCCAGTAAAAACAGGATAAAGAGAAAACAAAAGCAAAATAGTAACACAAAAAAGTTCACAGTGAACTTTTGATTAAGGTTAAAGCTAGAAATTGGATTAGAGGCGATAAAATCAGTGAGGATCTAATTTTCTGCCAGATAAAGGTCACATTACTGCTCATCACTGGTAAGTAAAGCCAGGAAAGGGTCAAAGAAAAAGCAAAGAGGAATGTAGCAACAGGTCCATATGGGACCTATTAGAGAACCTTTAGCCATGACAGAAAAGAAATGAGGAAGAGCTGGGATGGCAGCAAAAAGCGTAATGACTCCTTTAGGACTGAGGAGATGCCAACACAGCAGCAGCGGCTGTAGTGACGTTTCCACTGAGAGTTTCACCACGTAGCAGGCACTGTGCTGAGCACTTCAGATCATCTCAAAGCAACCCTGTGGGATACGTAATACTATCAGTCCCATTCTACAAATGAATAAACTTGAATTCTGTGTGGTTATGTGCTTTGTTAAAAGTTACAAAGCTATGGGGGCGCCTGGGTGGCGCAGTCGGTTAAGCGTCTGACTTCAGCTCAGGTCACGATCTCACTGTCCGTGAGTTCGAGCCCCGCGTCAGGCTCTGGGCTGATGGCTCAGAGCCTGGAGCCTGTTTCCGATTCTGTGTCTTCCCCTCTCTCTGCCCCTCCCCCGTTCATGCTCTGTCTCTCTCTGTCCCAAAAATAAATAAACGTTAAAAAAAAATTTTTTTTAAAAGTTACAAAGCTATGAAACAGTAGAGCTGACATTAAGCTAAGGTCATCTGACTCTATAGCTCGTGCTCTTACCTGCTAAATGAAACTGTCAAAAGAGAGTTCGAGAATGAAAATGGATGACAGTATGAGAATAAAGATAGAAAGGGATGAAGTCCAGTGCTTAGCTAAGAGGTAAACAGAAAACAGATCTGCAAAGGGTAGGTTGGTTTAACCTGAAGAATGCAGCAGGCTGGAAATATTTATTTCATAGTTTTGATCTTTATCCTCAAGTGGGTGTTAGAAGTTATAAAGTGACCTATGAAGAAAACATGGTAGGATGATGGAAATTCAGGTAAGCACTGCAAGTCGCAACAGTATGGAATGGCTAACCAAGAAAAATTATATTGACAACCCAGAATCTCCTAGTTTCCTAGTTCAATGATGGGTTCTCTCCAAATGTGGGAAAGAAGAAGAAAAAGAGCAGACTTACCAGTGGTAGTAGCGAAACCGGGGTCTCCAGTTGGGTGTTCGAAGTAATGTTTGCAAGGCACATGCCAAGTTCACAAAGAGGTAACACATGAGGAAAAACCTGGCAGATTAAACAAAGTAAGAGGCATGAAGATTACTGTAAAATGATTCTTCAAGGGTTATTTTATTTTTTTGAGTTTATTTATTAATTTTTGAGAGAGAGAGGGAGACAAGAGAATCCCAAGAAGGCTCCATGCTGTCAGCATGAAGCTCAGTGTGGGGCTGGAACCTATGAACTGTGAGATCAGACCCTAAGCCAAAACCAAGAGTCAGATGCTCAACTGACTAAGCCACTGGGCATTATTTTAAATGGAGACCTTTGTTCTAGTTAAGCCTCTGTTCTAGCCCACTAGCCCCTGATTAAGACTAGGATGTAGAGAAACTTAAACTTCTCCCCACAAACTTGCTCATTTTCCTGTGTTCTCCTTCAGTGAAGACACAACCACTCTTTACCCAGTTGTTCTTGGAAAAATCCCAGTGTCCTCTTTGTTACGCATCCTTGTTCCAAATTGACTTATCAAGTCCTATGGATTCTACCTATTTACACATTTCTAAACCTTTTCCCTCCTTCCCATCTCTATTACTATTATCTTTGTTCAGGCTCTCATTTATTCCTTGCTGGATTAGTTAAATAAGCTTCCAGTTAGCATTCATTCCCAGCTCAATTTTAGCCTCCTTCACACTTATCTTTTATACCAAATTGATCATTCTAAACCATAAATATGGCCATTCTCTTCTCAAAGGATCATTCCCTCCCTCCAGGTAAAAGTTCTGGGTCTTTTGTGACCTGGCTCTACCTACTTCTCTGCTCAGCTAGCTCACAACAGGCACCCTCCATTCTATTAAGCCAAACTACTTTCAATCCTCAGATGTGCTACATTATCTCATTCCTCAGTTCCTTCACACACATTCCATGCTTGGGACATCTCACTATCCAGTTGCTGAGTTAATCACCAGTCCTCCTTCAAGATGCAAGTAGTAAACCTTTCTTGAGTCTCAGTCCACTTAGGTGCCTCCCTTTAGAGTTCTTATGACGCTGTTCACCTTTACCACAGTTCTCATCACACTGTACAAAGATCACTGGTCTCTTTATCTATCATCAGTTTCTTAGGATTGTGTCATTCACCTCTGTATTCCTACCATGCTGCCCAGTGCCAGGTAGGTATTAAGTCAACACTAAGTCCCAGCTAAAGGATCCAACCTAACAGTAGCAGTAAAAACTACAACTAGTTGATGACGAATCACAAAGGAAGGAAAAGAACTTTTCAAGTTATACAGGTAGGAAGAAACCATGACAATTTATAAAAGCCTTACACGAAACTTCTTAGCAATATATACTATTTAGGTGAAGTTATACCAGTACTTGGCTCACTCTTTTACCACAACTGTTATACACCTGATGGAAATCAACATGTATTATGTATCATTTAAGCAAGAAAAAGTGAAGAGAGGAACTAGCTCTTACATAGAAAGAATTGGGGCCACAAGATCCAGGGAGGCGATAAGGATTCCCAGCTCTGCAATGGCGGCAGTTAGAAGTAAAGCCCAGGTAGGTTCCCCATTGGCTTTGCTGTGACCAAAAACCTGTACAGAGAAGGGAAATATCAGACACAGGAATGTGGGAAGTGTTTGAGTCAATGCTCCCTGATTCCTCCATGTTACAGTTTCAGATATATGAAAGATGATGGTGTTAACGACTGTTGATATTTCAGGGTGCCTGGGTGGCTCAGTCGGTTGAGCATCCTACTGTGGCTTGCTGCTGTCAGCACGCAGAGCCTGATTTGGATCCTCTGTTCCCCCCTCCCCTCTCCCTTCCCGCTCCTGCTTACGCTCTCTCTCTCAAAAAAACCAAAAAACAAAAACCCCAAACCCAAACTCCCAACTGTGATATTTTTAAAAATACCTTTACCCACTCACATATAAACTCATCCCTCATAGAGATTTAGAGTGTTTTGTACTAAAAACCCAGATCTTTGTATTATATGCTCTAATAATTCGTAAGCATATGAAGATGACAGTTTCTCATAAAATCTGAGAAAAAAAGAAGAGGGCATGGGAAAGATCACTCACCCTCAGAAAGGGTATGATGTTATCCTTGGCTATAGCCTGGAGCAGCCTTGGTGCACCTGTGAGACTCTGAAGTCCAGCCCCACATGTGGAGAAGAAGGAGCCAATAACAATCACCCATGGGGATGGCCAAGATAAGGTACCCACCACCAGATTACCTTTCACAGCATCCCCAAACCTGGGAGAGAAATAAGAGTGGGGAAAATTAACTGGGAAGTAACTACAGACTGAAAGCCTAGAAAAGTATCACCCAATTTTTTTCTATTTATAATTTTTAGAGAACTGAATGGAGATAGACATGAAAATTAAGAAATGTAAAGGTGGGGGCGCCTGGGTGGCGCAGTCGGTTAAGCGACCGACTTCAGCCAGGTCACGATCTCGCGGTCCGGGAGTTCGAGCCCCGCGTCAGGCTCCGGGCTGATGGCTCAGAGCCTGGAGCCTGTTTCCGATTCTGTGTCTCCCTCTCTCTCTGCCCCTCCCCCGTTCATGCTCTGTCTCTCTGTCCCAAAAATAAACGTTGAAAAAAAAAATTTAAAAAAAAAAATTAAAAAAAAAAAAAAAAAAAAGAAATGTAAAGGTGGACAGATTTGATCAAAAGGCTAATTATTAACCTATATTAAGAAAATAACCTGAAGAGCCAGAAAATAAGCTAAGCTTCAATTATAGCTTTTCCCTTCAAAATATCAAAATATCTGCTCTTCGCAGAAAAGTTGGAAAAATACAAAAAATAAAAAGCAGGAAGGAAATCCATCATGATAACATAACTGGTAATATTTAGCACACTTTGTACATTGTAGTCTCTTTACTATGTTTTTTTTTTTTAATTTTTTTTTTTCAACGTTTTTTATTTATTTTTGGGACAGCGAGAGACAGAGCATGAACGGGGGAGGGGCAGAGAGAGAGGGAGACACAGAATCGGAAACAGGCTCCAGGCTCTGAGCCATCAGCCCAGAGCCTGACGTGGGGCTCGAACTCACAGACCGCGAGATGGTGACCTGGCTGAAGTCGGACGCTTAACCGACTGCGCCACCCAGGTGCCCCTCTTTACTATGTTTTTTAAAATATAGAGGAGATCACACTATACCTATAATTCCATATTCTTTTTAAACTTACATTTTCCTATGTCATGAAAAGCTCTTTATGAATGAAAATCTTAGTGGTTTTAATAATATTGCATCATAATTTACACAGTCCATTCCTCTAGTGGTTATTTTGTATTATAGAAAATACTGTGATTAACATCTTTGTGCACATATCTACATTCGCACTTCAGGTTTTTTTTCCTTATGGCAGATTTCTAAGAGGTAGTCATCGCAATAAAAAGGATGAAATCGCATTTCAGTATCTTAAAATATTTCAAAATCACTCTCTAACTTCTTTCCAGAAAGGTTATAATAAATTTTATTCCCACTGGACGTATATGAAGGTTTAAGTTTTATAGCATGTATCTCTTTCACACCAGCCTTATATTAAAATTTTAAAAGTCAATGCTAATTTGATGGGTGAAACATGGCATCTCATCTGTTTATTTTTAGTTTCAACCATTTTTATGAAGAATCACACACAAAAAGTAATGTGCAAAAAACAAATGTACATTTCAACAAATTTTCACAAACCATCTATGTAGCTACTATCTAGTCAAGAAGTAGAAAACTGCCAGACCCCAGTCTCTCTTATGCCCACTTGCTATCACTAGCCCTTCCCCCATCACTATCCTGTTAATACTATGTAGTGTTACCTGTTTTTAAACTTTAAATAAATGAACCACAATATATGTGTTTTGTGCTTGGATTCTTTCACTTAACTTTCTGAAATTCATCCTTTTGTGTGGGTGTATATATAGCTGTGGCTTATTTATTTTCATTGCTCTGATTTCCCATTGCATGAATACATAACTTATCCATTCTACTACTGATGACGTGTGAACTATATCCAGATTTTGACTATTAGTAACAACACTGCTGTGAGAATTCTTGTGCATGATTCTTAATGCACATGTGCATGAATTTTCTGTTGGATCTACCTAGCAGTGGAAGTGCCAGGTCATAAGGTACATGCATGTTCAACTTTAGGAGACAATGACCAACAGTTTTCCAAAGTGGTATTCCAGCTTATACTTTCAATACTTTTTATATTATGGTGTAATTTACCAAACCTCTACGAACCCATATATTTTCAGTGACAATAGTATAGTAATAGTAAACTGTGCTACTTATTTTTGTCAGCAATATGTATATATTATTTACTGGGGTTCCTGTCCTAAAAGAACTCAATCTAGTCAGGGAGAGTGATATGAAAAGCTACAATACATATATATGGTAAGTGTAATACCGTAGTGGCTAAACAAGGAGGGGAGTGGGTATCTCTGATGGGTAAGTATGGGAAAGCTTCACAGGACAGAAGACATTTAGTCTAGTCTTCAAGGATTCATGTGGCTGCCAGGCGGGAGTTACCCATTCTAAGCAAAGGAAACTGCACAGACAAATGTGTGGCTGGATGGGAATCTGAAACAAGGCATATTTAACTTCAAGTTATGGCTAGAGCATGTGGACTTACTTTATGAGGGAATGATGGGAGATGACATAAGAAAAAGGTAAACAGGGCCGGACTGAAGTAATGGGCTTGGCAGGCTGTGAAGCAGGAAAATGATCTCATTTTGTGTTGTAGAAAAATCATTCTGGTGGCAGCATGGAAGAAGGATTAGAAGGTGATAAAACTGAAAGAGAGGTAATTATAATAATCCAGGAAAAAGATCCTGAAGGTCTGTGCAAAGGGATGGGGATAAAGAGCGAAAAGGAGATCTATTAAGATGAAAGGTGGAATTCACAGGGCTTAGAAACCAACTGGATGAGGGAACTGGGGAAAGTCTAGGATGGCACCTACATTTCTGTTTTGAGAAAGGGTGAATGGTGAGGCTTGTAATTCCTCCAGACGGGGAAAATGGGAAGAGATCTAGCAGATTTAGGGGAAAGATTTTTCTAAGAATCTCTTACAAAAACTTGTTTTTTGCTCATAGGTGTGAGGAAAGGAAAAACACCCAGCAGCCTTCATGAACGAAATGAAGAAAATTCCAAGATTTTATTTAGAATGCTAAACAGACACATACTTATATCTCATAGAAGAGATGCTAGAAAGAGATGCTAGAGACACTTCAAAGTTTTTGTTTTGTTTGTTTTTTTAACGTGCTTTCCTCTACTTTTGGTCTTAGTTTTCCAACAGCTTTTAATGTACTACAGACAAGTCCTTGTTATTCAGACAAATTCACTACTTCATGAAAGAGCTATATTCATGGCATCTCACTTATTTATAACAATGTAACTAGTACTTATTATTCACTAACCTTTTTGGGAACTATATACATATATTTTCTAATTGTTAGTCACGATATAAACCTCAGGTTAGGTTTTGAGTTTATGACCATCTTGGGGGCAGTGATCTGATATACTGGAAGACAGACACACAAATATTACAAAGAAATCAACTACTCACTTGTCTCTGAGAACAACACCTTCAATACAGGCACCAAAAAGGACAACATTGCTTAAATCTACCATACTGAGAGTCAAGGAAACTGACCTCTAACCCTCTGAAATAGTAAGCAGACACACAGGATATTTCTTCTATCAGTAAAATTAGTTGGTAGATTCACTATTGTAAATTTTTCCTTGAATTTTAGAGATGAGGTGGGTAGATTATCTAGTGAGAAGTGAGCTGATAGAAGGCAGACATCTTTATTACTAGGATAAAAATATTGATGGCCCTCATTCCACAGATGTGCCTATGACTAAAACTCAAATTGGATTCATGACAAGGATACAGACAAAGGAGGTGGTCAGGATGGCGAGGATAGTGCCAATGGGAATAGACTTTTGAGCATCTTTCAGATCTCCAGATCTGTTTGATCCAGCCATGATACCTTTAGAGAAGGAAAAAAGAACAAGTTAATTTCTTAGTTCCTGGACACTTTGATATTCATACTGATACCAAAGACTGGTATCTGAGAAGCCTGTGTCTTAAGGAAAATCACTCTCTGGGTCTGATAACTTCTAAAATAGAGAACAGCCCTTCTGCTTACCTGTGACAGAAGGAAAGAAGATCCCCACCAGAAGAGTAAAAGAGGTGGTGATGTCAACAAGGACATACTCATGGTTTAAGCTGCCCAAGACATCAGAAGATTTGGCTGAGGGCTTTTCAATGATCTCTCCCTTTGGTAGGTAATTACTCCAAAGATTCTCTGTAGAGGGAAGAAAAAGGTATATAAGCAACAGAAGTATGGAAAGAAGGTAATTCATTTTCTACCTAAACAACATTCTAAATCAGTTTCCTCATTTCTAGTGTTTGAAGGTATGTTTGTTTCTACATGAGCACATGTATATATTACATAATAAAGCACAAATAAAAACCTAATGCTCTTTCTCAAATGGTTCAAATGTAATTTGACAAAAGGCTTTGGTACAGTTAAATTTACAAATGAAAATTAGTAAAAGTTAATCAGACTAAAGATGGGTGCCCCACAAAGCATATTTTCTAAAAATTAGTAATCAATGCTATTTCTAACACCTTAGTGTAAACCTGCTTACATGCAAAGAAACTGTGGACCAAACATTTAAGACAGAAGTCACTTAAGCAAAGAGCTTCAGAAATCGGGGTGAGTTAGGAAAACACACATGTGCATGTGGGGACACTGAAATAGTTCCATTCTAGCTGTCCCTGTGGGAAGAACATTGGCAACTTTACAGTAACACAGAATATTTTATTACTTTATCCCAGTTCAAAAAGCGACTGGCTTAGCTCTGCTCTCTAAAGGTGGGAAATTTTAACAGAAAACACCGCAAGGAGTCCTGAAAAAGGAGAAGTTCACTAACAGAAAAGCAGAAAGAAGCTGAATTAGGAGCTGTGTGCTGAGCTTAAGCAGGGAAGTGATACAATGGCAGTGAGGCGTCATGGACAATATAAGAGTCTAAGATTGAAAGGCCCGCTTTCCTCAGAAACAAATAAAAAACTTGTTCAAATACCTCCTAACTTACCTGTAATGACACCACTAGCCAATCCAGGAATGCCCTGGATTGAAGTGACATTATTGTGAACAAAGTATTCATCACAGGTGGCATTGAAAAACTGACTTGAGTTACAGAAGAAGCCCCATAACCTTGATGGTACTGTCATGTTGTTAATTTCCTTGGTCTTAGAGCAAATATCAATGTGTCTTGATGAAAGGGTGCGGTTACCCAGCATGCAGACCCTAAGTGAAAAGAGAGAAAAAGATGAAGCAAGGGGGAAAAAACGTTTAAGAAAAGAAGATAGGTTAGAAATAGGTTAGTAAATTAGATTAGCAAAGTTAAAACAAAACACCTCATCTCTAAGAGCTTTTACTGTCATGGATGGGAAAAGAACTAACATTTATTGACTCATTCTGTAAATGCGGATTTAAATTTTCTGCAGTTTAATCCTCACAGCCATCTCACAAAATATGCATGAGTATTTCCATGTTGTGGATGGAGGAACTGAAGTTTAGGGAGATAAAGCAGTCTACTCGAGTGGTAGTGACAGAATTCAAATACAAAAACTATCTGAAGACACAGTACTTACTCATCTTCCAAATTTTCTAGGTTATTAACCAATTGTTAGGCCTAAAAGAATCCCAGAGTCCTTTTGTTCTTCTGACAAAAAAAATTTTCCCCTATTTTTTTGGCCTAGAAAAGCCTTATGTTCCTAAAAACCCCTTTGAAAATGTTCTGCTAAAGGTCAAACTTTCTGGCTACCGTTTTGAGAAAAACAGCTTGGCTGAAATAGAAGGCACATCCCACTATGGCCTAAGAGAAAACTATTTTTGAACGTAAGCCTAGACCCAGTGGGAGTGAGGGTATTTAAGGATATTACAAATAATAACTGCTGATTTTATTTTTTTCTTTAACCCGGAGCTATAAATATGAACAAAAGAACAATACACCCACAGTTCAAGTAACTCTCAAGAGGAACAAAGCAACTTTTCAAATCTGCAAAATGACAGCATACATGTATAATGAGCCATGTACCCATTACTCAGCTTCGATAACCCAACACTGCACAGTCTGGTTTAGTGTTCCTCTAGGGAATTCTGTCTTGTTTTGCTGGAATATTTTAAAGAAAATACCACACATCGTGACCTTTTACCCACCAAAAGAGAGAAGAATCAAAGAAGAACTTAAGACAAAGTGGAATTTCTCAAGTGAAGACATCCAGTAGCCTTCAGTACTTTCGGCTTGTTGTAGCCCATAAATGAGCAGACTAAAAACTGATGATGGAATTTATCACTGACATCATTTAGCATAGTAGAAGAAATACTGCACCAGGAGTTAGGAAATCAAAGTGTTCATGTTTGTGCTCTGCCATTAACTAACTTTTGGGCAAGTCATTTAATCTCTATGGATCTGTCTTTTCATCTTGAAACAACTATTTTTCTGTAATCAGGTTTAATTAACATAGGACTGATAAGTTTGATACCTGATAATCCAGATGCTTCTTAAAGACAATCTCTGTAGCAAGATTACAAACACTCAGTGCTGGTTAGTCCCTATGCCACTAGTCAAACAGAGAACAGGTGACCTGGGAGTCACCTATCTGTACAAATCCATTGCTACTTCAAAAAATATAGTTTAATGTACTTGTACTACTTATGGTAAGGAATACAATCTCTCTAGAGAGATATATATGCAAATGTGACATGTATTCCTCTTTATTTTATAAGTAGAAAGTCTGCTATGATATTAACAGCAAAATAAAAAGGGTAATTACAAATATTTAAATAGGAGCTAAGGTTTCTTTGACTCTCTTGATATTTCATTAATAACAGGAATCCAACTTTTGAATACTTTACAAAGCTTGCCGGTAATAACTATATTATTTGTAAAGCTCTTCATGAATAGTTTAAGCAAGCACAACCATTATAAGGAGGTTTTAAAACAAAACTCAGTATCTACATCCAAATGATGGTTACAGCTGCCAGTTCTATGCCTGGGACATAAGGAAGAGGATTGACATGACATAGTTTGCGGGGAGGCTTCCTGCCTAGATGCTAACTGAGCTTATCCACAAGTGAAATCTCAGGGACACTGTGAAATTGAACTTGAAGTGGTCACATCACCAGATATTGTCAATGACTACCCAGTAATGATGGCCGGTAAGAGGCAGACACATACGGGAAGTGTGGAGGGGCAAAAGAAGACTTGATGGCTCCAGCATAGATGGCCAAGATGGACACAATGACACAGGCCAGGAAAAGTGAGGCAAACTTGTTCACATAGCGCACACCGATGAATACCACCAATACCATGAGAACCAAGAACGCGGTGCCATACACACGCATGTTATTTAGCATGGCTGCTGATTCCTTGAGTGCATCATCGCTACGAAAGATGGCAGCTCGGGGGACAATATATACCTGTTAAGTGAAAGAAGTAGAAAATGAGGTCATTTTATAGTCATCAAGTAAAAGGGCTGTTGTAATTTGCATTTATTTTCACAAAGTAAAGAAAAGCTAAGATAGAAAATGACTGGAGACTTAACCTATTCCTGCAAAAACTGGATAGCATTGATCTTTTTTTTTTTTTAAGGCTACATGTTGTTCTGAATATCTGCATTTCCCAAAGGAAACAGCAAAGAATGCATTAATAATTTATTCAAAGGGTTATGTAAAATAATTATAATGATTACCTTAGGTCCTACCTTATTATTCCTACTTACCTATCATTTTAAACAGTAAAAAAAAAAAAAATAAATAATAATAATAATCCAGTGAATAAAGAAATGAAAAACATTTATTTTGGGGGGATAAAGATATGACAAAAGATAAACTTTACTTTTTCCCTGTTAGTGTGTCTTGCCTCACGACTTCCACTTCTTGGTGAGGTGGGTAGGGTGTTAGTAAACGGGTGGAAGGGAAGCAGTAGGCAGGCAGTGGATACTTTCAACCATTCTGACTTATACTCACAACAGGAAGTCAATGACAAGTTAACAGTGAATCACTTGTTTGATTCTACAGCGGATCTCTCAGAAGTTTTGCTACCAAACAACAAAATAAATCCAAATCTCTTATCTTTTCTACACTGTAGACCACAATTAAGCCATTACTCACCAGAAAAATTTCAATGGCACCAAGGATATACATGGCTGCTGCAAATGTGGTACCAAGATAAAAGCAGAGGCCAACAGCCCCACCAAACTCTGGGCCCAGGGCCCGGGAAATCATAAAGTATGAGCCTCCAGCTAAAAGACAAAACAATGTAAGCAGGATAAAGAAAGTACACCGGTAAGAAGAATGTAAACAAAGTCATAAATAAGAAGAATAAATGCTTCAAGCTTTTGAAAACTCTCAATGTTTTGATAAAAAGTATATTTGCTAATGGGAAATAAAGGATAAAACCTTTCTAATATACTGCATAGCTAATGCTCCACACCAACTAGTTCAACTTGTCAGTATTACTTAGATAAATATCAAGGAATATTTACTACAGGCATGAGATAGCCCCATAATATATATCCTAACTAAAAGAAGATAGGAATGTGATACAAATTAAGACTTCTAGCTTAGAACATGATGAGATTTTTTTCCTTTTTATTTTAATTGAAGTATGGTTGACTTTAATAAATGGTATAGTACAACGTCATAGTGGTTTGACAATTCTGTACATTAAGCACACCATAGTAAGTGCAGTTACCATCTGTCACCATACAATGTTACTGCAATATTATTGAGTGTATTCCCTATGCTGTATTTTTCATCCCCATGACTTATTTATTTTATAACCGGAAGTTTGTAACTCTTATTCCCTCCCTCTCACTTATTTTGCTCATCCCTCTACTCTTCTTTTCATGGACAACCACTAGTTTGTTCTTTGTATTTATGAGTCTCTGTTTTTGTTTGTCTGTTTATTTATTTATTTGGATTCCACATATAAGTAAAAGCATATGGCATCTGTCTTTCTTGGACTTATTTCATTTGCATGAGTGGATCTCTAGGTTCACCTGTGTTGTTGCAAATGGCAAGATTTCATTCTTTTTGATGGATGAGTAATATTCTATTTTGTGTGTATGTGTCCACAACTTCTGTATTCATTCATCTATTGATGAACACTTAGGTTGCTTCCATATCTTGGTTATTGTAAATAATACAGCACTATACATAAGGGCACCTATATCTTTTTGATCTAGTGTTTTCATTTTCTTTGGGTAAATACCCAGAAATGAAATTACTGGATTATATGGTATTTCTACTTTCAATTTTTTGAAGAACTTCCATACTGTTTTCCAGAGTGGCTGGATCAGATTCTATTCCCACCAACAGTGAGTGAGGTTCCCCTAGTTTAGGACATAAAGAGACTTAAAGAATGTATTCTAAAGTCAAAGAGTGTGAATGCCTATGACCAACAGACTAAATAGTACTCTGTCCCTTGGAAGTTTGCACCTCTGGCTTCACAGCATAAACATACAGTAATTGTTGACAATCCCTGAAATGCAATCTTAGCCAACTGACCTGGCACCACTCCATTAGTGGCAATGGCACTCATGGAGATAGCAGTCAACATTGTCTGTAAAGGAAGTGAAAGGAGAAGACTGTTACTGTTATAAAGATGACATTTCTGTACTATCTTCCCATCTGTGGAATGCAGAGCACTGTTTGAATAATTTACATACTTTATGGACGGAGTTGGATGTCATACCTAATAGCATGGAAATATGATGTGGTTCAACTCATTGCACTAGTCAAATTACTATCATCTTGAGTATTCTGTTAAAATGGTTCTATGTCATAATCAGTAGGTTAGGGGCTAGTAGAAACCCCTGATCTCACCCTGGTCTCCTAGTTAACTTGGAAAACAGACTGGAAACTAAGGACTAGATATTACAAGAACAATATTCAGTAAGGAAAGGAACCACTGAAGACTTCTGAACTAATAAAAACTATATTTTGAAAACATTGCCTGGGAGCAACAGAGTATAGAATGGACTGCAGACAGGGAGCAGATGAAGACAGAGTGACTTGTTAATAGGCTATTACAGTTCAGTGAAAAAACAGGAATATAAAGGAAGGGTTGTAGGTAAGAGATTTCAGAGGGAGACTTGATTGACACTGGTAGCTGATTAGATGTGAGAGGTGACCAAGGAGCCAAACATGACCTTGAAGTTTTAAGACTAAGAAAACAAAAAGGGGGGGGGGTAGTACTGTTAATTTTAATTTATTAATGATAGGAACTATCTCTGCTTATCCTGCTTTGTATGTACTCAGTGAGCCTAATGCACAAGGAGGGTATAATAATGATAGTAATGAAAGAGGTCAGCAGGTAACAGAACAAAAAAATACATTTTTTATAATAATCAACTTATAATGCATAAGAGGAGTTTAAATTCAAGGAAGATCAGAATGTTCTCAGTACAGTGCGGAGAGGACCTGGAAAACACACCTGAATTTCTAGGGAAGGGAGAACAGATGAGACTTGAAAACAAAACAAATGCCCCTCACCCTAAACAACAATCCATTTTGTTTCTCCATACTATACTGGAGTAGTGCGGCATCATTTTCTATCACAACTTTGGTGCCATCAATACAAGTGGTTTGTATTCTGAATTCTTTGAAGTCAAGGACTACATCTCCTACTCCCTCCAGAAAGAAGTCTTCCTTTGTAATTTCTAGTACATCATATTATAGATCTAAGCAGTGAAGAGTGGGTCCTAAATAACTGAAAATCCTTCAGATTTTAATATCAAAATAATCTCTCATTTTGAGATCATGAGTCTTCCCCTATTAGCCTTTGTTTTATTCTCAAACAGGTCAAGTGCATATAATCTTGAGCTCTTGCAACGTTCCAGGTGATTTCTAAGAGCCAACTCAGGACTTACACAGCAGCAGCAGATAAGGACGATTGCGAAGGCCTGAAGAACGCCTGCTGTGCCCACAACCCATGTAAGGCGTAGAAACAAGATCACTCCAAAAATATTTTGTAGACAGGGGAGGTAGACACCCATGAAAGTACCCATTTGAGGGGTCTGGAAAGAAAGTTGACAAAAGAAAAATTATATAGTCATCTAGAAGCCATGCTTTTATCCCTTTACTTGTGTATAAAAACTTGCTCCCAACTACCATATTAATTATTAGGCAGAGATAATCAGAATATCCTAGAAGAGGCACATATAAAATCTCCATCTAATAAATGTCAATCACCATACTTTTTAATAGTCCTAGAACTATACATTTTTACTTTACACAGGTCTCCATATGTTTTTACATAAGTATTTGACCACAATCCCCCCCTTTTAAAATGTTCTGTAGTTTGAAGCTATCAGCTTTCCCTTTTCATCTAAACTGAATAATGACTTGATGGAATTCCTTTAGAATGTGGTATAAATCTTTCATAGTAGCTGGTAAATACAGTTGGTAAAATGAAGATCTGAGGGTCATTTAATTCCTGAACAACCAGGAAGCTACCTTGTTCCGTATTTTCATTTTGAGAAAAACTGAAATGTAGTCTTTGAAAAACCCAACCACTTCACCACAGAGAGATGGCATCAGCAGGTGGGCGTGGACACTCCTCTTCTCAAGTGCTATTTCCTCTCCCTGCAACGGTCTTCTCCCAACCAGGCTCACTGTCTCACATTGGTTAGGTCTCTGCTCAAATATCACCGTCAGAAGGGCTTTCCCTGACTAACCTCTCTCCAACAGCAACCCCTTCTGCCCTGGCTTTCTTGCTGGCCAGCTGCAGTCTCTTTAGCCTGCCTTAAAAAAAATTAATTACTGAAGTATAGTTGACACACAATGTTACACTGGTTCAGGCGTACAACATAGTGATCTGACAAGTCTCTGCCTATGATATGCCACAAGTGTAGCTACTATTTGTCCCTGCTTATATTTTTGTTAGAGCATTTATCAACATCTAATATACAGTTTAACAACTATCTCTTCATACCAGAATTCGGACTGCATGAGAGCAGGACGTTGTAGGTTCTCTTTTTGCTATGACCCCGGTGCCCAGAACAGTGCCTGGCTTAAAGCAAGCATTCAATAGTTACGGAGCACAGAGTGATGCCCTGGATAGTTCCTCCTTTCTTATATATGGGACTCTTTTTATTTATCATTGTTATCCTAAGGCCTCACCTTGGTGGGCTTCTTTTTCCCCTCAGTGATGTTCTCTGCCTCTTCATGTTCCTTCGCTCCTTGTGTCAGATTAGTATAATTGGCCATACGGTTGAGGAGAGAAGATACCTTTGGTCTTGTGTCCATTTCTTCCTATAAAGTCGTAAACATGGAAGAAATGAGTAATGAAGAACACTGGAAGCATAAGCATCAAAATGGCCCATGTATCAGAAAATTGCAAATTAAATAAGAAAATATTTCACAGATAAATATTTTAAGACAATTCATCAGTGAGGCTTTCTTTTCCTCCCAAGGTAAAATATCACTTAATCAGGGCTACATGAATCCTTATAAGATTAAGTGAAAAGCTTTAGGATTCTTTCTAATAGCTTAACTTTACAGTAAAAACAAAATCACACTGGCCCCTACAGACAGCTGTAACCTTGTAAAAAATGTTGGTAATATTATCTTTAACTACAGTGCCCCTTTCTTTAGGCTACCAACATTCTAACAAAATTTAGGGCTATTATTTATTGCAGCACATACGGATAGCTCATTAAAAAACTTTTGTGACTGAGGGGCACCTGGGTGGCTCAGTGAGTAAAGGGTCCGACTCTTGATTTCAGCTCAGGTCATAATCTCGTGGTTTGTGAGATCGAGCCCTACACTGAACCTGCTTGAGATTCTCTCTCCCTCTCTCTCTGCCCCTCCCTGTCTTGTGCACACAGCTGTGTTCTCTCTCAAAAATAAACAAACATTAAAAGAAAAAAACCTTTTGTGACTGAAGTAAATATTCACCACAGATCTTTTCTTCAAGTAAGCTGTAAGAAAATATCATTTAAAAGATAAGTATGCTGAGAGAACTAACATTCACATCACTGTCCAAAGCCAGAAACAAAGGCGGGACTAAAGTAGGTTCCTTTCAAGAACCTGCCTGCAGACGCCGTCAGAGTCCGTAGGGTCTCAGGTTAAGACCTACAAGGTCCTCTTAATCTAGCAGCCTACTTCCTACACCGATTTTTGATTTAGTAGTTCTAAGGTAAGTGATAGTCCTCCCGAACACAGATTGAAAAACTCACTATTTTACACTTTGTAGATAATGCAAATATTCACATCCTAGCTGAATTAGATAGCAAGGTCCCCCATATTGAGGAAGAATGCCAACATTCTTCCTCAATACTCAGAAATTTGATTTAATGGTACTTATTAGTGATCATTAGATTACACAAATAAATCAACTATAATGACAAGTTATCATAAGTATTATACTTTAACAATTAATTCTTAAAAGTATCCAGGCTGTACTGTTTTAAAACTAAATGGGATAGAAAACAGCGATCTTGAAATCTCTATTCCTGAAATCTCTGCCCTAGTCTTCTCCCAAATATTACCTCAAAGAGTGCCAGGTTTTTATCAAAATATTCATCTCCTTCTTCATAATTGGAATTATTGAGATAAGCATTTCGAGCTTTCTTATTATGGCCATCATCTGGAAAAAAAAAAAAAAAGTAAACCAAGTCAGTTTCTCAGTGGTATTAAAGAAGTATCAAAGAAGTATCAGCACCAAATAACTTCATGTTGCCTCTGTATTAACAGAACCCATTTTCATATTCAAACTACTTTAAGTTTATTTTTTTATTTTGAGAGACAGCGTAAGTAGAGCAGGGAAGGAGCAGGGGTGAGGGTGGGGGTGGGACAAAGGATATGAAGAGGGCTCTGTGCTGACAGCGGAGAGCCCAGTGCAGGGCTTAAACTCACAAACTGTGAGATCATGACCTAAGCCAAAGTGAGACGCTCAACTGACTGAGCCACCCAAGCACCCCTCATATTCAAACTTTAACCTGAGAGTGGGAGAACTCAATTAGCGTTGCTTGGAGAATGTGGCTCCCTCTAGAAAAGGAGCAAAAATAAATTTCTAAGAGGTCAACATAGGTCATTGCTTTTCTTAATACAAAAGGCCTCTGGACACACTATTCTTTTAGGATTCTAACCTACAGAGACCCTACACTTAAAGTCACCCAAATCTAGAATAAAATTTTTTTAAAAAGTACTTATTGAGTCCTTAGTATATAATACCTTTATACACTATTGCTGTTGAACAATGGCAGCAAAAGCCCTCTACTTACAGATGTCCAACCTTTTATAAATGATATTAGGTAAAAAAACAAAAAAAAAAAAACAAAAAAAAAATGACATTAGGTCATGTAACCAAGAATTATTTTTGTACAAACTCCTGCCACATATTTTTTTTCATCCCACAAGCATTTGGTGAACCACCTATAAAGAAAAAAAAAAAGAGAGAGAGAGAGAGATAAAGAGACTGGGTTCCCTAACACAGTAAAGTTTGTGTTGTATCCTTAGCTTTGGTTCTGTATTGTGTAAGAGTTATATAATTATAATCACCTCGTAGGAGAGAGAGAAAATAAAAAAATATATAAATGTCATTAAGAACTAAGACTTTAAATATTGATAAAATAGACACTAATATAAAATTTAAAGAAATTAATTTAAAGTCCTATAACCTTAAATGTAAGTTTGGGAAACAGTCAACAAGCTATGAAAATAACTGGATCATGTCAAAGGACAGAAAAGCCAACCTGATGGGATCCCTAATGGCTAAAAATGGGATAATATGATCACTAAAAATAAATAATGCAATGAATTGAAAAGTAAGTATGTGAAATATCCAATATATTAAAAATAAAACAACTAGTCACCTTTGCAAGTTACTAAGAACACAACATATATGAAAAACAATAAATGGAAAGAATCAAGCAATTATCTTGCCTTTCCTGTACCAACTATATTTTTAGGTGATGAAAAAGTTAAAGAAAATTTCTTCATTATAGAAACATTCTAGCTAATCAATGTGGAATTTAAAAAACAAAACAAACAAGCATAGGGAAAAAAGAGACAGACAAACCAAGAAACAGACTCTTAACTACAGAGAATTGGTGGTTACCAACAGGGGAGTTGGGTAGAGGAGGGGGATGGGTGAAAACAGACGAAGGGGATTAAGAGTATACTCATCATGGGGTGCCTCAGTGGCTCAGTCCATTAAGGGTCCAACTCTTGATCTCAGCTCAGGTCATGATCTCTGGTTTGTGAGATCAAGCCCTGCACTGGGCTCTGCGTTGACAGAGTCTTTCTCTCTCTCTCTCAAAATAAATAAACAAACTTAACAATTAAAAAAAAAAGTACACTCATCATGATGAGAACTGAGTAATGCACAGAATTGCTGAATCACTATACTGATTCACCTGAATCTAATATAACACTGTATGTTAACTGAAATTTAAATTAAAAAAATTTTTAAAGGCAGATGGATTAGGAAAAAAAACCACCAATTTTCAACCCCTAATGAAATAATAGATCTAGGCAATCATCATCAATGGTTGCTAAAACCATTAGATGAAAGGCTAAGACATAACTTTATAATGGATGGATCAGGGTGATCTGGAACTCAATGATCAATGTTAACATTGCTTGTTAAAAGTGGACGACACAAACCCCTACTGTAATACAATAAAAAGTACCCTGTGCAACCTATGATGTATTCTTACCAAAAAAATGGAAGTTGAATCTAATCAAGCTTCTTAAATCTATCAGTTCACAAAAACAAAACAAAGAAAACAAACAAAACAAAGCAGAGGAGGAACACGCTAAACATCACCACAAAGATGAGGCAATCACCAAATTCAGAATGTGAGAAATTCTACATGACAAATAATCTGACTTATTCAATAAATAAATGGCATAAACTAAGAAAGCAGAATTCATAATTTGAGACTTAAAATGACATACCAACCAAGTACAAGGTGTGAAACTTGTTAGAATCCTGACTCTAATCAAATGTAGAAAACAAAAACAAAAACAACAAAAAACCCCACCTTTGAAACAGATAAATTTAAACTTTTTTTTTTAAAGTAAATAAAATCATGTAATGTCTGGAATTTTAAGATATTCCAGGAAAAAATTAAGTGGGGATTGAAAACAGATTCTCAACATTGTTGAAACTGAGTGATGGCTTCATGGAGGTTCACTATCCTATTCTATTTACTTTTCTATATCGTTGGAAATTTCCACAATAAAAAGTTACTAAAAAAACAACAACAAAACAAAACAGGAAAATGATAGCATGGAGCCTGCTTTGGATTCTCTGTCTCCCTCTCTCTCTATTCCTTCTCTGTTGTGCATGCGATTTTTTCTCTCAAAATAAACATTAAGGAAAAAAAAAAAAAAAGAAAATGAAATTCTTTTCCTCTAATGGTTCCAGAAAATCCTAAAGAGAGAATGACACAGCTTAAAATTATCACCGGTTTTAAGTAATCCATTTATTCAGTTAATTCAGTAAGCATTTATTAGGTTTTTAAAAAAATATTTATTTTAGGAGAGAGATAGTGTGCCTGAGTGGGGAAGGGGCAGACAGAGAGGGAGAGAATCCCAAGCAGGTTTTGCACTGAGGGCATAGCCCGATGTGGGGTTCGAACTCATGAAGCCTGAGATCATGACCTGAGCCGAAATCAAGAGTTGGACGTTCAACCGACTTGTACCACCCAGGCACCCCACATTTATTAAGTTCTTATGATGTGCTGGGCACTGTTCTAGGTCCTGGTGATACAGCAATAGACAGAGCAGTTAAAGATGTTGCTTTCATTGTGTGTATATGAAGTCACAGAAGACAGTTAAAAACATATACACACACACATAAAACTGATTTATAGTGGTTGTCCATTTCCACAGTGTAAATACTCACACATGCCAATTGTAAACTACTAACGTGTTGGGGCGTCTGGGTGGCTCAGTTGGTTGAGCATCTGACTCTTGATTTCAGCTCAGGTCATGATCTCGCTGTTGTGAGAAAGCTCCATGCTGGCAGTGGAGCCAGCTTAAAATTCTCTCTCTCCCTCTCAAAAAAAAACAAACAAAACTCCCTCTTTCTCTCCCTCTGCCCATCTCTCCTGCCCGTGTGCTCTCTCATATAAAAAAAATAAACTACTAATGCGAAGTCACTGAGAATGGTTTTGGGAAGAGATGCATACAATTGGTTCTCAGGAGTTGGTATGAGTTGGCTGTAGCACACCCTTGACAAAGAATGTTCAGGAAAAGCCTGCATTTCAAGCAGAGGGAACAGTAATTTTAAAAAATCCTAAAGCAGAAACAACCTTAATGCAGTCATAAAACAGAATGAGTAACATGGCTGAAACAGAGAGAGGAAAGGAGAGAGCGACTGGAAAGATAGGATTTTAAAATTTCTATTTGGTCTTTTTTTATGATTCATTCTCATTTTCTCTCTCTGGGATTTCTCTCTCTTTTAATGTTCATTTATTTATTTTTTAGAGAGAGAGAGCGAGAGCGCGTGCCTGCACAAGCTGGTGAGGGGCAGAGGGAGAGACAGAAACAGAATGCGAAGCGGGCTCCAGGCTGTGAACTGTCAGCGCACAGCCCTACTCAGGGCTTGAACTCATGAACTGTGAGATCATGACCTGAGCCAAAATCAGACGCTTAACCGACTGAGCCACCCAGATGCCCCTCTCCCTGGATTTTTTTTGGTTTGTTTTTCCCTTATTCCATTTGTTCTCTTTCCTCTTTTGGAGTTTCCTCATTCTATTTTTTTCAGTAATTACTTTTGAAATTTTACCACATATATTACTTAAACTGTTAAGTGAGTTTAATCAATAATCTGTCATCCTCACAAACAACACACTTGAACACTTCAGTTTCAACTGTCCTCTGATTCACATAATATTACTGTTCTGTCCAATATTTCTAGTAGTTAATTTTACTACACAGTAAGACACTAAAAATATTTCAGAGACAAAACACTGACTTTGGTCAAGGTCAAGGTCACTGTTCTTCTGGGATCATTTCCCGTTTACTTGAGGTCCCTTCTTTACAATTCCTTCAGAGTTTCTCAAACTCAGCATCATGAAATTTCAAGGCCACATAAGTATTTGTTGTAGTACATCATACAGTTACATCATAGGACGTTTAAGAGCATCCCTAGCTGCTAGTCACTAGAGGCCAGTAGCATCTCCCACAATGACAATCATGAAAGTCTTCAAACATTTCCAAATGTCCCCTGGGGGACAAAATTGTCCTCAGTTGTAAACCACTAGCTTGGAGCAAGTCTTGCGGTGAGAAACGTTCTTGGCTTTTATTTAGCAACAGTTGCCTGTATTTTGTCCTAATTATTACTGAGTATCTTGCCAAGCACAACTCTAGGATAATAAAAGCTTTGCAAACACTAAGACATCATTTGCTATATGTTTCGCTATGGAGAATTCTGTCATTCTGCTGTTCTGGGGAGGATCTGTACCTCTGGTGGATCTCAAGATCTTTTCTTAAATGTTCTGTAGCATCATTAAAGATGTGTCTAGGTGTAATTTTCCTTTTGTTCTGTTCACAAACCCCTTTTACCTGTTTATAACCCGTTAATTTTATTTTTTGTATCAATAACTATTTTTTTTTTTCTACAAGTTCCATTTG